TAGGATGATAGTTATCAGATAATAGTTCTCAGATGGTTTTTCATATTCACTTTTCACAGTTATGTACACAGTTAGCATAAATTTGTGGCAATAAATCCCCTGAACTTGGGATGGTTAAATGATTTTACACACATTTCACAGCTATGTACACAGTTTTATTTTTACAATCCCCTGAGAGTACACAGTTATGTACTCTCGATGATGTACTGTTGCTTTACAATATAATGAGACCATTAACTTATCATATTCTGCTATTACCATTACTTATTCATAAATGCTAATAGTACTAAAGAAAGATAATAAAACTAATCATACTCCTTGTACATTAATTTTACAATTTTTTAATTGTTGCATAAGTATGAGACCAAACACCTAAGATGACATTCAAAAAAGAGACAGAAGCTGTATATAACTAATGCTTACCTTATTCAGGAGGGAGACCAGGGGAAATTGCCTGTCTTGATATTGAGCATGAAAGAAATGAATCAGACGAGAAGGCCAGCTATTGTATTTTTGCACAGCACAAGTAAATGCAAAGAATGGTTAAGGCCACTGCTTGAGGTGAAGGATACCTTGATGGAATATTAAGATATACACTGAGGATTCTAAGCATTATTTGTTGTATACTTCAGGCATATGCTTCTAGGGGATATATAGCTATAGCCATTGATTCTCGTTACCATGGAGAGCGTGCAAGCAGCATGACAACCTATCAAGATGTACAGACTAATTCTACTTTCCTATTCTGTGTTTTCAATTAGCCTCTCTTACTAAGCATAATATAGGAAACTCACTGTGACTTTTAACTGAAGGTGAGAAATGGAAAACTTTCGTGGGATTTTGTATTCTCCTTATAAGAAAGCTTTTGAATCTTTTACACAAAGTGGTTTGCCACAAAAAAAGTACATAAAGGGACCATTAGTATCTCAAAAAAGCCACTTAAGATTAGGTAAAGTTGTTGGGTGTGTGACTCACTATAACTAAGGTTTTATGTTCGATTCTCATTGTCACCCTTCCGGGCCTCCTGTAAGAAAATAAATAAGTGTAAACAAAATGAATTTACTCTTCAAAGAAAATGTTAAGGATGAGAGCAATATCCCACATATACTACCCCCATTCCACATAAACTTGTTTATTTTAGTTAGGTACAACTATTAGACATGTTCAATTTTAGCTATATTTTTAAATTTGTTTTTTTTATGTAACTCTATTTGACTTATGTAAGACTTTTAGTTTTTAAAATATGCTCCCCCCATCCTAAAGTGAAGTTCTTACTTTGAACTTTCGAGTCAAAGTTTTTTAGCCTGATCATTAATTATTCGAAATGTATATTAAGTTCTAACATGAAAATAATCATGAATTCCTATTTTCAATATATATTACTGACATTATAGTTTATTATGGAGCTTATAAGTATATAGTTGTGAATAATAAAGGTCGAAATTTGACATTGAACGCCATGAAAGTCCAAGTGGGAATCTCATTTTGGGACAGCTGGAGTTATAAATGTTAACTTCTTTTCTTCAAATATGACTCTTTTTGGGACAAAAAAATGTTTTCAAAGAGGACTATTTTTGGGAACAAGGGTACTATTCAGCTCAAATAACAGCATGTTTCTTTTAACAAGCTGATTGTAGTTGCTCTTTCTTTCAATAATAAATTAATAATGCAGGCCCTTGTATCATCGTGGAAGAAAGGCGATACAATGCCATTTATATATGACACGGTAATGCTGCTAAGTTTTTATACAATATTTTTGTTGAAGTTACAAAGATATGGGGTAATGAGTACATCATAAAAGCTTATGGTTGAACTGCAGGTGTGGGATCTGGTAAAACTGGCTGATTATCTTACAGAAAGGAAAGATATTGACCAGACGAGGATAGGGATCACAGGGGAATCACTTGGTGGTAGGGCAAATTCCATTAAGATCTGATTCACAGTCTCTTCCGTGTGTTCTATTTGGAAGATTTCTTTCTGCAGGTATGCATGCTTGGTTTGCTGCCGTAGCTGACAGTCGTTACGCAGTGGTTGTCCCCATCATCGGTGTGCAGGTAGGTTGCTCATCATTCTAATACTAAAAAAAAATATTACAAACACTCCCTCTGTCCCAAAATTATTGACCACTTTAACTTAGACGCAATTTAATAAATTGGAAAGTTTGTTGTTGATATGTTAACCTCATACATATTCCTTTCCTCAAAAGGAAATGGGCAATATTTTGGGGCAAATTAGAAAGCATGAAGTGAATTTGGAAACAGAGGGAGTATAGTTTATTTTTATTGAGGGGGTATTGTAATTGCAGCAATGTGGAAGTGGATTTTGAGTCAGTCTCATTCTCATAATGAAGAGTAATTTCTTGGGCAATTTTAGGGATTTGGATGGGCCATAGAACACGACAAATGGCAAGCGAGAGTGAACAGTATCAAGGCTGTCTTTGAAGGTGAGATCACTTATAGTAAATACTACCTCTTCAAAATTTATAGGAGCCACAATTAGCTTTTCCACAAATATCAAGGAAACAAAGTAAATGTGATTAATTTTCACATGTTAAATCACAAATGGGTAAGGGGGAAAGGTTGAAAGTTAGTTTTGTATTTTCAACAACAACAACATCCAAGCCTTATTCCCAAAAGATTTTGGGGTCGGCTAACATGAATCGAACCATGACACTCAAGTCTCAACAGTCACTCATGTTCAGAGCATGCCATTACCCTTGAAACTTATTTATTCCATTTACAGAAGCCCGGGCTGATTTAGGCAAGAGTGAGATTGATAAGTATGTGGTGGAGAAGGTATGCATGATTAGCACTTTTTGCTTGGAGTCAAATCCTTGACCATAATAAGCATATAAAAGCACAACTGTATAGTTTCAACTTTCCAGTGTTGCCATTTGTGGACAGGTGTGGGACAAAATTGCACCAGGTTTAGCATCACACTTCGATTTACCCTACACATTGCCCATTATTTCACCGCGCCCTTTGCTGATTCTAAATGGTATGATTATTCATTAATCATTAATCGCTGCTACTTACCCATGTATTGAACTAATGTTGACTAATTTACTTATGATTCCATCACTTCTCAAATAAATTTCGTGTTAGGTTTCTACAGTCATATTAAGGAAACAATGCTTCCCTATTTTAGAAGAGTAGTGAAGAACATTTAATCATCTAAAGCTTTTGTATATGTGTTAGGGTAGGAGTACCCAAGTAGGGACGGAAGCGGGCCAGTTTTGGATCTGATTCCCACCAGATCTTCCCTTATTTTGTAAGAAGGTACAAGAACCGGCCAGGTCGTATTTTGGAGGAACTGGCACTGACCGTTCTGGTCCTATACTCCTATTTCAGAGGAACTAGAACCAGACCAGTTCTTGTTACCTGTTCTGGTTCAGAACTGGAAAAAATGTTTTGGTCCAAAATGGAAAATCGGGCGGTCCTGGTCCGGTTTCAGTCCAGAAATGGGACCATATTTTCCCCTAGACAGGAGGAAAACAAGAACAATTTTGAATCAAACGAATTAAAACTCTGCACATACGTTGAAACATGTTTTTTTTTTCAAAAACAACATAATGAGACAACTGAAGGGTATTACGAATTCATGTTCATGGGGCATACAGGTGAAGAAGATCCTCGATGTCCTCTTGCTGGCTTAAAACTTGCATTGTCGAAAGCTAGCCAATCTTATGAAGATGCCCATTGTCCTGATCATTTTAAGGTATTCCCCCCACCGCCGCCGCCCCTCCCTCAGTCCCTCTCTCATTTTTTTTATTCTTTATTTCCAGGTGTTAGCCGAACGCGGAATTGGGCATCAAATGACACCTTTCATGGTAAAAGAAGCAAGTCATTGGTTTGACAAATTCCTCAAACCTGTTGACCTCAAATTTTAAGTTCTCTCGTAAGTCAGTTGGATTCTGGTGTCTGTATAAGGTTGTAGTCACTTAAATGTAAAGATTATGCGGCTATGTAAGGATTGGTAATATTCATACTTCAGAACCTGTGTTTATAGTTAATGATGATCTTATTTTATGTTTTACCTGAATTGTCCAATATGCAAATAGAACAGTTACTGACCCAACAATCGGAAGATTCCATTACCAGATAACATGCTACTCCACGTGAGAATATCAATGAAGAGGGAAATGAAAATATTACTCCACATGACACAGTGATGGAAAGGGCTTTAACCTAAGTTTAAAAAAAACAACCCGGTCTGGACGGGTCGACTTGGAACCCGGCGACCCAGGTCAAAACTCTATTCGGTTAGCCAAAAACCCGAAAGTGGCTAAAAACATATAATTAAAAAAACCAGTTGACCCGTGAAAACCCCATTTTAGATTGTTTTTCTAAAAAAAAAAAATTATTTGTAAAGATTTTCAAACCATAAAATGATAAAATTGCAATCTCAAATTTTCAATGCCTTAAAAATAAAAAATATGAAATATCTTTATATATTTTGTTTAAGAATGAGTATCATGCCAAATTATTTTATAAATGTACAATACAAGTAACAAATGTCATTATATATTTTAATAGGATCAAAATTGTATATTGGAATATTATGAATGTTTTAAACGCTTAATTAGCATTATCATTACTACCATTTATTATAATTTTGTACAATTATATGTCGCTTAATTAGTATTATCATTACTACCATTTATTATAATTTTGTACAATTATATGTTTACGCCTTTACGGTTATTATTTGATCATATAAATTGTTGATTGATTTTGAGGCATTGATTGGGTTGACCCATGGGTCCAGATTGACCCATGACGGCATGAGTGGTGTGACCCATTCATGTAGTCGGGTCGCTTCACGGTCCAAATTTTAAACATAGGCTTTAAGTTATAAAGTTATAATTGTTATCAAGTAAGTTTAAAGAAAAGTTTAAAAAATAATTAAGGACACCGTTTAGGTGCGTAACTATCTGAAATCTGAACACTTCAGAGTCTTCTTCAGTAGTTCAGTGTTGTGATTTTTTCATGCAAGAGCTCAATTTTCTTATGTTAGTAATTCATTTCATAACTTATACATATTATAATGAATCTTCGTGCACCATATGATAAAGTCCCTCTAATGAAAGAGGAAATGAATTTACAATATAGTCCAACGGTCCAAGTAAGAAAAACACTAACAGGCTGGAATCTGTAATAAAATAACAAAAAAAAAATCATTAATATACGGTTTATACATGAAGACCCGCTTAATATATCACACAACAAACATTTGATAATTTTACAGTAATTATCCATAGTTGGTTGCACATTCATTCATCAAACATGAAACTTCACTTTTTGGTAGACTTTCTTCATAAATCATAAATAAATGGTAACAGCATCAATTCAGCGCTTTTTAGGCATGGCTGCAAGCCTAGTATACATTCTCGCCATTGATTGGTATCCTCTTACATCACCAGAACGAAGAAGGTTCCCTGTGTTTAATTTGCCATGGGATGCCACAATAAGAATCAAGTCCTTTAAGAAAAGGATACTTCAAAGGGAAGGATTAGCCACAAAATGAATCTGTTGCTATTTGTGTAAAATAAAAGGGTTTCAACAAGTACAGTATCTCACTATATATCTATGTGTGCTTCTTTATAAACTATTAGATCAAAAGCGATATGTTCACTCTCATCTAATTCATTATATTATCTCAAACCAACCAATAAAATTATTAAAATTTAATGTAACGGTAAAAGTCCACGAGTGTGTGAGTGTGTTTGTTGTGTGAATGTGTGTGTGTAATAGTAATCTTAGGATCTAAACCACAGGCCCACAGCTAGTGGTGCTAAGTGAATCCATCTACAAATGAGGCATTCAAAATCAGCTCGACAAATACTTGGATTCATCTCAGCTAAGCTAATCTGAGTCAACTGCTCATGAGCCAATCTTTAGCACGAAAATATATAGTTCGGGCAAGCTTGAGCTTGGTTTTCTAACTCCACAGTCTACACCATTAGCCCCCACCCAGGTTACCCAACCCTTATCCAAAGACTGTGAGATGATTTTGGAGGTAATTTTTAATTAAAAAAGAACCACACTCCTTTACCTCCATTCCAACTCAATCTAAAAACTGAACTCCAAACATTGCTTAATAGAATGCCTCCATTCATAAAACAATAAATCCTGGATTTAATAAGACTCCATACACCTTTTTCATAGCATTTATAGAAACATGGTTTTATTACACTTCATACACCTTTTTCCTACACTGACCCCATACATATCATCAGAGTGCTATGATGAAGGGTTTCAGACGTCCTAGTCTCTCAAAAAATAAACGTTTTTAACAACAAATAGAAAGCGATTGAAATGTTATATGAGCTCATACTGTCTTAATCATTCAATTTTTTTAGGGGTGGGCATAAAACCGAACTGACCCGTAATGGTACCAAACGTATATCGGGTATTTTATCGGTTCTATAGATTTTTATCCCGAACCAAAATCGTAGCGCTTCAAACGGGTATGGGACCGGTTATAGATTTTGAGAACCGTAAAATACCAGACCGTTCAAAATTTATATATGTGATATTTTTATACTACCTTCGTCCCATAAAACTTGACCAACTTTCCCTTTTTGGCCGTCCAAAAAACTGTCATATCCATTTAAAGTAACAAATATGTGGCTAAAGGTATTTCTCTCACCTCTACGGCTCTACACAACTATTAATCACACAGTTTTTACTTTATTAATCTACGTGCAAGTCAATTTTGGCCATGTTTTATGGGACAGAGGGAGAATATTTTTTTCCATCCCAATAGATATCTTGTTTGGACCAACAACTTTCTAGCGTAAGTATGATTTCATTCATCATTTAAATAGCTAAATGTGTATGTTTATATAAATTATGTTATTCATTTCTTTTGGATAGATATGTTATATAAATTGCTAACTTCCAATAATGTGGTGTATAAGACTATTTGTTGTATCACATATTTATGTAATTTTGTAACTACATTAATATGATTTAAATCTTAGTTTACACTATACAACTATGAATTAAAACTAATATTCAACCTAGAACAAAGAAGAATGATGATGGGGTTTTCTATGATATATTCAACAATTTGATGATTTTTTTTAGTTTGCACGTGAATTTAATGAGGATAGTGTATATCCGGTGTCTCATCGTTTTGCTAAACATTTCATTTGAGCATTTGCAAACATAAAAACAAAAATGTAAGCCTCTTAAATCTTTCTTGTGTTTAGTATACGCTCTTTCTTTTACTTCCTCCGTTCTTTAATTCTTGCAACATTGTGATTTTTGCACTATTCACATACCTTACTTTGACCACGATTTTCTACTAATATATATAATTAAATTATCACGTATAAAATGTTATTGAATTCCTATCAATGTGAATTTCCAAAATATCAACTTTTTATAATGTTTACTAATACATAATTAAATATAATGACAGACAAAGTTGTGCGTTGGCAAACGTGAAAGTCAAACTGTTGCAAGAATTAAAGAACGGAGGATAGTATTTTTTATTAACATTTCATGTGAACTGACGGGTATGATGAATTTACTAATTGCAAGTTTTTTTCAAAAAAAATAGTATTGGTTTGACATTGTACCATTTTGTACCATTTCAAAACGACATGGTACCGAATGGTTCACATGTTGTTATGATTTCACATGTTGTTAGCAAACTCACTATGCTGGTATTATTGATTTGATATATGCTCCAAACCAACAATATTTCCTGTTAGGCATATCTTCGTAAAGAAACACAAGATGGTACTCTCAAGCCTGGCCTGAATAAGAAAGTCAAACTTTCATGAAAATGGGGAGTACCTGAATCACAGTTCAGCGGGCTATCAGGTTCTGGATGAGCCATCAAAGCAATTATTGCCCGACAGACAGATTGTAGTGTCCACGCGGGGCTCCATGCATTCTTTAATATATCTAGGCAAATCTCTCCAGTCTGTTGAATATAATCAAGTACAAAAAAAGATGAATTCACAACCATTGCTGAAAACATCAGAGCTGTAATAACAGCAACTGCATTCTATATTGCCACATTTGCAGCAAAATTATTATTCCTTCCATCCCTATTTAATCTTCCCAAACCCAAATCGACATTGCATGCAGATTAAGAAAACAATTTAATTCTTTTGTAGAAAACAACACAAAGATTGTTAAGAACAAACCAAAAAGGTAGGAGGATTAAAAGGGGCAGAGGGGAAATTTAGGAAGAAAAAAATGTCAACAAGATCTACTTCCAAAATAATACTCCCTCCGTCCTGGTTGAATCTTGACATTTTCTTTTGGCACATTGTTTCGGAGAACATTTTTATATCAAGTGTTCCCATCTTGCCCTTATTGGTACAATTTAATATCTTCATGAGTTTCGCTACTTTCCCCAAGTTTAACCATTCCTTCGCATGTGGAAGCAACTACACATTTGTAGGATGAGCGAGCAACTCTCACTGTGCAGCTGGTCTCTAAGCTAAAACAACTATTGTTCTTAATTCCCAGCTCTCACTTCAATCTCTTAACTGAAACGTAATTGTTTCAGCATCCTTCAATCACAAATTACAAAACGGGAGCAGGAGAAACCAATACTCTTGTAATACATCTTGTATAAATTAAACATCAATTCTTCTAAAGATTAGAAGAATTACAAACATCAATTCTTCTGAGCAGAAAGCAATACTTCATACTTTATAGTATTATTGTTATTCTCAATTAACACCAATAAACTACCTGAAAATACCCATTAAAATGATTTTCCACAGAGATGATGTTCTCATAAAACTTATGCTGTAAAAGTTGAGAGCGCTGTTCCTAAGTTGCGCCTTACACCAAGCAGTCTGAGTAACTTACGGAATGATGAAATGTACAACAAGTTAATCAAATGTACCTTAAAATGAACATTTGGATGGAATATTTTGGTTAAGAACCGCACTTGAGGAGGCTGCAAAGGATACTGCTCTGGGACAGAGAAGGCAAGCTGAAAAACTCCACCTTCAAACGGAGTTTCAGATGGACCCTATGCAAAAGCATAAATTAAGAAATTGACTTAGTATGATCCTCTTTGACAAACCACTTTCCTCTAACACAATCCCTTTAAGCAAAAAACAGAATTACAGTGCTATCAAGAAAATTAATTTCATAGCTTATCTTTTTCATTAAAGAAAAAAAACTCACCTTTATAAGAGCCATCCACTTAAAAATATTGGAATCATCACAAATTAATTGTATGTCTGGATCCGCTGCTTTCTCCCTCTGCACCTCTTTGTACTCCTTGAAAAGTCTTGCTCTTGAAGCCTGTAATAGAGCATACATAATTAAACTAAAAAAAAAACTGAAATAGTTTAGAAAAAATATGGGAATCTACACTAATCATATATTATGGTGCAACTACGTGAAAATTCTCCATTGGTTAGAAATACGAAAGGTGATGATTACAAGTTCTCAGTCTTCTCACTTTTTAAGATGTGTTCATGATAAGAAAGATCTCATAACAACCCTCCAATAGTCAGATACACACATACAGTGTGTGCAAACTCTATAGCGACGTGCTTGTAGGAAATAAAGTACACATCTAATATATTTTAAGACAATAATATTTTTCAAATATACATACTTTAGTTGCTCACTGATTTCTTTATCAAACGAGATATTCAATTGTAAGTATTGTTGATATTTTTTGTGCTTTTAGGTTTGGAATATACGTACTAAATACTTTTATTTTATCCAACAGTTAAATTTATTTTTTAGGGTATTAATTGCATGGTTAATCATAACACAAGGAATTTGATGCAATTGTTTAATTACAGGGAAAAAAAATGTGCTAGGTTTGTATATCAGGTGGATGGCTTCACGCATTAAAAGCCAATAACCAATGAGGTAATGAGTGAAGACTTATGCTACATTGCTACTTGCATGTTACAAATAAAAATAGAGAAAAGGGTCAAATAAGGTTTTCTACTATTATGAAATCGTCACATAAGGCCATATACTCAATAAAGTGTCATATAAATACGTCTACTTATAAAAAAATCGGATGATTCCTAATGACCCGTTGACAACCTCTTAATCCTGATTTTAGCTTACGTGTCAATTTTTTTGACTTGTATTTCAACCAATCTTAGGTAAATATTCGATGTGTGCCGTATAATCTATTATAAAATGATGGTTTCAAGAACACTATAATCGGGATTAAGAGGTTGTAAATAGGTCGTTAGGAGTTATATGATTGTTTTTTACAAGTAGACGCATTTATATGACACTTTATTGAGTACATGGCCTTATGTGACGATTTCATAATAGTAGAAGGCCTTATTTGACCCTTTTCTCATAAAAATATAAAAAGCTGTACTTTCTTAGAGGCTCAGCCTTGAGGCCATGACCTTGTTGACCTCACATAGTAATAATAATAATGATGGTGCTTATCAAATCAAACAACCAGAATACCTTTCAAACTATATCTTTCCTTATGTTGATATCGTTACAGAAATTTCACAGGAGTGCAATTAGATGAATGGCGGAATGGCCATACATGATAAAAGAATGAGGTCCTAAGTCAAGCCTAAGTTGTTCTCTATTTCTTATAGCCCAACTCCCAAAAGCATGTCTGTGTTAAGCACAAACATAGACAGTAACCTGCACACCGACTCTAACAAAAAGCATTCCCTGATTCCCTGTTGAGCTCAATCTAATCATCGAATGTATTATCTTTTCTAACTAATATTTATGCAATTAATCCAGATTAAGGTGGACTATATCCAGGAAGTTGCGATATATGTATATCTATACGTATTTAACAACAAAGTAGCTTCCAACAATGCATTCAATCATTAACCCGCCAAGAATAACTCACAGACGCACTATGGTGCAAGCACGCGATTTTAAACTTGATGAGGATGTTCAATATCTAAATTTTGTCTTTTCAAGAAATGGGAGGCCAGAAGGTGTTACTATGGCATATGAGAGAGGAAAGGGGCGATAAATACTTTCATAATATTAGTAAGCTCCACATCTCCTATATAAAACTATCACAAGCAGAGCTCGATAGTAGAGACTTTTTTCTTATTACTGTAATTGTGCAAATCAATGGCTATACAGTATACGTTAAAAACGTATTCTAGCATCGGTCAGATGCTGCACTAGCTAAATCAATGGCCAACTTATTATCAGTATATTGATACTCCGTATATATCTATGCATAATCATTTGCCATGTTGACGCGAAATTCATCCCATCTATGGGTACTTAAGCCATATAATAATGAAACGGTCAGTCCCACTGCAGCAGTTCCAAATATATTCAAAACAAAGAACGAATTTACCGCAATATGTTAAATTTAATAGAAGGAACGGTAAAGAAATCGACCTGCATCCTGTGTACCACTCCCTATGAATCACGAACTCGCCAAAGAGAAAGGTTCCGAGTAAGGAGTTGAAATTTTCCTGGCAGGGGAGGGGCTCGCCGCCGCAGCCGAAAAGGGGACGTCGAGGTTGCGGGTTCAGAGAAGTGGTCAGATGTGATTCCGGTGATAATTGGGTAGTTGTAACAATATGATGGGCCAGGCTGTTTGGGGATTTTCCTGCAAAGGCTAAGGAACGATTAGAGGCGATGAAATGGAGAAAATGCAGAAGTCAGAGCTAAGCTTGCTTTCAGAAAATAAGATCCTCGTAACTAGGGTTCCTTGCTATGTTGCACGGAAACGCGAAAATCATGAGGAAACGGGAAACGGGAAACGTCATACTTTGCGCAAAAAAGGCTTATTTAGAGAGTTTCCAAAGAGTTTCCGGGAGTTTCCAAAACGGGAAACGTACTCTTTCCCGAGAGTTTCCGTGCTACATAGGTTCCTTGCGTAGTTTACTTTTCTTTTTAAGATTCTTGTCTTCTCAATGCCGATAATATTTTGATTGTCACTAGTATGGTACCCGTGCGATGCACGGGACAATAAGACCCCTTTCGTTCCACTAAACTTGATCAAATTTGACTGACATGCATATAAATAGAGTCATCAAACAGACTGTCCATGTCTATGCTTGAAATTATAACATTAAATTAAATAAATAGCATTATATACCTTTTTTAATGGGTCATATGGTTTTAGCCCAACACTCCCCTTTCTCTCTAAGGCATGCATATGTATATATGTCTTGAGCAACCCATTTTCACATTGACCCTTTATTTTCAAAAAAATATTTTCATGTTAACGTTAAACATCTATGGAGTACACAACAACACATTTCTTTTAAAAATTTTGTTCCTTTATCCAAGGAGTGCTATCCTACAGCTATCAATGTGTCTTTCGAAGATTCTTGTCTTGCCCTCCTTTTGGTTCTTTTTCTCCTTTCTATTTTTCCTTGGCACGTCACTCTTCATCATATGTACTACCTTTGTTCTTAAATAAATGTAGCATGTCAAATTTTACACTATTCACATGTTGTATTTTGACTACTTTTTATTAATTAATGTATTTATATTTTTTATGAAAAAAAAAATTGTTAAATTTGTCTCATTGTAAATTTTCAAAATCTAATTTATTTAATTTTTTTACTAATACAAAATTATATATATTAATGGTCAAAGTTGTGTCTCGACAAATGTGAAATGTTGACCGTTGCATTTATTTAAGAACGGAGGAAGTATTAATTATGTTTTTCACGTGTAAAATTAACATCGCTTCTCATATGTTTTTCATATATCTTCGTGGAAGCGAGATCTACCGTTTAAAAGATCCGCTGTTTTTATTTTGAATTATATTTTCCGTAATTTGAATATATAGTTTTGTTACTTGACCTAAATTAGTTGAAACGTTTGTTCTCTTCTCAGTAGGTCACTAATGATACATAGAAGTATAATTTAAATAGTTATTTCTGATTCATTACATATTATATATGCTACAATTCCCATCTATCTATTTTTTGAGATATACGGAGTATTGTTTATTCGTGAGATTGGTCATTTAGAATTTATGTTTTTTAAGATATACTATCGGTGTTCCTAATTTCTGAAATCTATTTAGGATGTTTTCTTCTGAACTGAAATTTGCTGGTCTGGTCTGGTCTGGTAAACGTCTGGTCTCTGTGTATTGTATTTTATAACTACGGAAGTCTGGTCTGGTCTGGTCTGGTCTGATCTAATCTGGGACTGAAAACATTTCAAAAGAAAACATCCTTACTTACTAATTAAGTCGATATTAAATCAATGAATAATTTGTACTTTAGACGATCTACAACTATGCATCAAATGTATCATAAGACTCCTATTACGCATGAGATTTGAAGAAATCTTATTTTCGACATGCCATAAAAGTTAAGTGTATACCTGTAATTTGTGAAGGTACATCTATCTCAAACTATTTTTGATATCTTTTTTTGCACGGACTCCTATTATTGATCATGGATAACCAAGAGCTTCAAAATCCACATATATCAGAGATTCATCTCTCATTGATATACCAATGAAATCACACATGCGTGAATTTGATTGTAAAAACTAAAAAGTATCTAAAACAATTTGTATTTTAGTAAGATAATGAAACTAATCACAATTCAATAATGTTACTGCGGTGAAAGCACTTAAATAACCTATTTGGAAACTACGTGATGGTCAGATAATATCTGATAGTTACCAAAGCTACAAAATAGGAAGTACTCGTTCATAAGAACACGAGTTGTATCGGTGGGAACGGTTAATGATTGAACAGTTGTAATTACTTTGATGCGGTAACCAGGTTTCCCTTTTTATATTAGTATAGATTTTGGCATGACAATGACAATGATTTCCCAAAATGCAGATCACAGCAACATTTTCCAGATGCTTCCTACGTGCCCCTAACATGATTTTACATTTTTAGAAAAAATGGTCAAATAAGCTTTTTGTTATTTCGTCACTTAAACACATGTAATAGAAAATGTATCATATAAATACGTTTTATAAAATTGATCAATTTGATCATTTAATCAGTTTTTAACTTATAATAATATGTTTTTAATATTTAAAACTCTAAAAAAAATTGAAGAAATATATACACAAAAATTGTGAAAATATTTAGAATATCAAAGTCAATATTTTTTAATTTTTAAAGATATTTGTGTATTCTACATCTATTTTAAAGGTTTTAAAATTTTATTTTTTTTATTTTCACTTTATTTTTTCAGTTTTATGATTTTTTTTTAATTTTCTTTTTACATTTGTACTATTTTTATATTACTATAAGATTATTTATTCAAGTTTATATGAATTTTTGTAGGATTTATCAATATTCATAATTTAATTTAAAAAAAGATAAAAGTAGAATGTATTTTAAGATTACACGTACTTATATAATACGGAGTACTTTTTAGTATGAGACTTAAGTGATGTATTGGAAATACTTATGAGGTTTATTTGACCATTTTTTCTTAATTTTATTATTGAGGTTGTTGCTTTAAGGATGTTTTTACTTGGACTGTAATTTGCTGGTCTGGTCTGGTCTGGTTTGGTATGATCTGGTCTGGTTTGAACTGGTCTGGTCTGGTCTAGTAAGGTCTGGTTTCTTTGTATTTTCATAACTATCCAAGTCTGGTCTGGTCTGGTCTGGTCTGATCTGGTCTGGACTGGTCTGGTCTGGTCTAGGACAAATTACAATCCAAGTAAAAACATCCTAAGTTTGACACATTAAAGTTTTTCCTAAAATATTATTATTCTTAAAATATTTATTTATAAAAAGGACATTGATAAAAATGTGACTTCATAAGTTTTAATTACTATAATTATGCTCAAAGATTATATTATAAGGGTTGCTAAGCGTACCCCATTTTACTTTACGTAACCCTTCCATGACCAAAATGACCTTTTGAGAGCATCAATTTAAAAAAAAAAACGATCTTTAGTTCTGATAGATCACACGGCTTGCCCCATATGGCCAATTGGCCATGTCAATTTGATCTTTTGCCCCACTTTGATCACACTTTTTTCATACGGTCAACTTTTTTAAAAAACAAAATAACTTTTTTATTTGTGCTCCGATTTTTCTAAAAATTATATCAAGTTAAATAATTTTTCACGATCTTTCATATGACACTCATATACATATATCAAAATTTCAAAAAAAAAAATTATGGGTCAAGTCGGTTACAATTTGGTCGCGTGAATGACCGATAAATGTGTATTTACTTCTCCGTATTCCTTAAATCTAGTCTATTTTGATTAGACCTAATTTGTTTGAATGTATTTGGATCATATTTCATTCAAATAAAAACATCCTAAATATCATTCACATATTTGTTCATAGATATGACATATATGGCCTTAATGTGAAATCAGCATGGGGGCACCTTTGAAATTAGTCAAATAAATGAAAATGAAGATAATTAGTTTTACTAGTATTACAAATGTTACTTATTCAAATAAAACATATTTAAAAAATTGCAATATTTCCCAAACAATGTATGCAATAAACTTAATGACACAAATGAAAAACGAAAACTCAAATACAAATACTTGGCATAACAAGTGATAAAAACTCATGCTCTTGCCTGTTTTGGTCTGCATTTGTCTGGATTTAGAAACTTTACCCCTTTCTCTTCTGTTCCTTCGGAAATTACTTCTTTAATTAATATTGATGAAATGTGTATTCCTTCTTTCAGGAGTTAATTATTTTTTATTGTATTCTTTAGCTTTTTGGAAATTTGGGTTAGGTCTAGGCCTCCCAAACTTTCGTCTTTTTTGCCTTCCACTCTTTATCTTGAAGAGGTTTTGGTCTAGTCCCCCTCTTTTGCTGTACTTTTAATTATTTTAATAAAACTTGGCAAATGTTCCCCGGCGTTTGCCCCACCGATTTTGGTGGTTTGCCTACCAGGATAAAAAATTAAAATAAAAAAACTTGGCATAAGAAGTGATTAATATAATTGAACACACACGGGTTGGTCGAGTGGTGGGAGATTTGGATCAATCTATCTAAGTTCGAACCCCACAGCAACCGGGTGGAGGTCACAAAACCTGAAATAAGGTTAGGCCTCTGGTGCGCACGGATGTATGGACCTACTGCCACTTGTTCACTGAGTCACCGTGACTAACCTCCCCACCATCATGTCGGGTCGGGATGGGGGGCTCCTGGGGTGGGAGATTCCACCTTTTTGGATCAATGATTAATATAACTAAGATAAATAAATACCTCGTTAGAATGAAAGCCAAGAGTACAATTTTCTAGATAATCTTTGAATGCATCCTCCATTGTACAAGGAGATTGTAAAAAATTATAAGAGCATTATACTATGTACAAATATTTATATATTTAGTGAGAGTTGGAATTTGTAATCAAGTTTTGAGCATTTGTAAAGAATTACTACCTTCGTCTCCCTAATATTGGGACGGAGGGAGTGATGTGATTTTTAAAAATATAGAATTATGTGGTTA